AAATATATCCTCTAATTCCTACCCGTTATAATTATTTGCTAAATTCAGTTAACATTCTTATAATATCACAAACCTACAACAACATAAATAGTGTAATGAAACAAGCTCAGAGTAGGAAGAATTATTGTGAGTATTACTCTGATATTTGTTGGTCAAAGATAGTGAATATTCCTTTATATCATATAGCATGATAAGTAATCTTAAGTTAGGGCTTCTAAATGTAGGTTCATTAGGAACAGGCCATGAAAAACTAGTAGTAGCTATAGATCGCCACGCTGTCAATTTAATGGCGTTTAACGAAACTTGGTTGCGTGAGGGTGAGGAAGCGCGCGCGCCCGCGGTGCCGGGATACCGGTTACGTCACATTCCCCGACCGCAGGGTCTAGCTGTTCGAACGTTGCCTCATCCTTCAACTCCGCTTGTAGAATAAATGTGGCTTGCTCTAACTATTAACGGCAATAAGATCGCGATTGGTACTGCCTATAGACCACCATGGTTAAATGTAGACACATTTTTCGATGCTTTGTCTGAAACTATCGGGACTCTTGCATGGTGCAATTATATAATCTTGTTAATCTTGTTATATAACCTTAATATAAATGTATTGAACACCGCGGATAGTAATTTTAAAACAACTTAGAGAATTCTTACAGTGCTACAAACTGGGCCAATGTATAACTGAACCGACTCATTTCATCGATCATAGTCAAACCTTAATAGATATAGTTTGTCCAGACTTCCAGGAATACGATATTTTTGTTAATCACATACCCGATCTGAGTAACCATGCATTTATTTGTTGTGAAATTAATTTCAAAAAGCCCAAACAAAAGCCGCTTATAATATCAAGCAGAGACTTACATTCCATTGATGTCGAACAGTTTGAATTAGATCTAAAGTCGATGAACTGGAAAACCATCAACACCCTAAATGACGTTAATGATATGGTATCTCTTTTTAACACAATGATGTTGACCATATTTGATATTCATGCGCCTCTTTGCACAAAAACTGTAAGACATTTATAATATCCCTGGATCACTTATGATATTATTATGAAACTTCGGGATGAAGCTGGATTAGTAGCACGTAAATCTGGTTCAGAGATACATAAGAACTATTATAAGGAACTAAAAATAAACTGTAGAGACGCGCTTCGCAAAGAAAAACAGGCATACTATGACTACTACATCGACAATACTAAAAGAGATCCTAAAACCATATGGTTACACATAAAAAATATAAAGTTAGAAAGTAAACCAGAACTACCGTATAATATTTTTAATGATCCTGAACATTCCTGAACATGATCAAATACTTACTTCTAACACGTCTCTCTTTGAATCTCATATAAAAGTTTCCAGTAAATTTAAGCTAAAGACAGTACAGGAAATTGATATTTTAAAAATAGTACAGTCATTAAAATCAAATGCGTTTGGTATAGATGGCATATCCCTTAATATGCTCAAAATGTCAATACCCAACACAATATCTGTAATAACAAATATAATTAATAAATCTATAGAAACCCATACATATCTCACTAAATGGCAACACGCATTGGTCAGACCTATTCCTAAAAACGCAAATCCAACTAACATGAAGGACGTCCGCCCGATCAGCATATTGCCGTGTGTGTAAGATTTTAGAGAAGGTTGTGGCCGAGCAGATAAGAAAGCATTTGGAAACAAATGCAATACTCCCTAGTTTACAATCGGGTTTTAGGCAACATTGTAGTACAACTACCGCTCTGATTAAAGTAATCGATGATATTCTGTCGGACCAGGACTCTGGAAAAGGCACAATATTAGTTCTATTAGACTTTTCTGGAGCATTTGACTGCTTGAATATACCATTACTTTTGTCAAAATTGCACTATTATGGTTTCGATGTAACTGCGGTGAAATAGTTTGAGAGCTACTTTTAATATCGCGCACAGCGAGTAGAAATTTCTGACCATGGAGGGTTGCCGCTAGTTTCCGATTTCAAGGTTGTGAAACAAGATGTACCTCAAGGCTCAATTTTAGGACCACTTTTGTTTGCTATGTACTGTGCAGATATGGTAGATCACATCAAACATTGTAGATACCATATGTACGCTGATGACACAAAGATTTATATATCATGTAAGCCTGATGAAACTCAATCAGCAATAAAAAAAATTAAACGAAGATTTAGAAGGCATTGCTGATTGGTCAAAATCGAATTCTCTTGTTCTAAACGGAAATAAGTCAAAGTATATGATTCTAGGAACGGCTAAGCAAATTCAAAACATTGCAAATTAACGGCTTCATGTCACCATAAAAGGGGAACAAATTGAACGTGTGACTGAAACTCGCAATTTAGGTCTGCTTATGTATGATCGTTTGCGCTTCGAGAATCACATACTTAATACTACTAGAAATTACTTCTACAAACTTAAAGTCCTGTATCTTCCTGAATACAGATATTCGAATAAGGCTCTCTGACTCATTAATTCTTTCTAAATTTAATTACATGGATGTAGTTTATGGTCCTCGTCTATTAATACGTAGTCAAAAACTCATTCAGCGAGTTCAGAATGCTTGTGCAAGATTTTGCTTCGGGATACCGCCACGCACTCACGTTACATCGTACATCAACGAAGGCAACATTTTAAAAATGAAATATCGTCGTCACTTTCATTTAGCAACACTACTGTTTGGTATAATTAAATATTATATGCCACCTTAAGAAAACGAATACAACGTAATAATAACTTTTTAAAATAATATAACATATTAATTAATAAAGTTAAGAACACACTGGTAACACAAAATTTTTTGAAAATAAAAATAAAGTGCATGTATAATAAGCACATGTACATGTCTTCTATAAATAAATTATAGTCTATACGTATACATACTTTTAAATTGTTTTATCCGTCAAATTGTTGTTTTGTTTCCTATTTTTGTTTTTGTTTGTTATAATGTTTATAACTGATGTGTCCACAAATGTTAAAATTTAAGTCCCTACTGATGTATATGGCGTGCTGCAATAAATCTTTCTTTCTTTCTTAAATTACAACAATTTTAGTCTAAAAGTAATATGTTTGGACTACCTTAATAGGCAGTATGAAAATTATTACAAAATTTTTACAGGCGGCTCTAAAGATGCAGGCGGAATCGGTGCAGCCTTTTTTGACCTACAATGTAATTTTATTTATTTATTTATTTATTTAATAAGGCTTACCAACTAAATACATATAGAAATAATTATTATGAGGTGCACTTAAAAAATTGTATATATGCATTTAAATTAAAGGTAAAAACAACATATAATAAAAGACTTCCTTTAGGGAGAACAGTAACCTATAAAACTATCACTACAATAAAATAATAAAATTAGAACAAACAAAAAAACCTTTCTTATTGATGTATAAATGGAAAAAAAGGAGAGGAAGTACAAAAACTTTTAAAATGAAAAAATTATTTGGCTGTGTAATGTGTTAGTACCTTCCTCTTTAAAACATTTAAGCTATCAAAATGTATATCCACATCACAATTTTGAAATGTTGAATTGAATGCATTCAACAAGGATGATAAAGGTGTGTTTCTGCCATATTCATTACGACTCTTTTTAATATGAAACGGTTTGTAGTTATGTAGACGTGCACTAATTCTTGGAACAGTGATATCGATATTAAGTAAGAGAGACCGACAGTCAATTTTAAAACTTAAGAGCTTGTGCAAGAAAGTTATACTTAATACATCCTTACGCCTTTCTAAAGGTATCATATGATAATGCTCAAGTCTTTTCTTATAGCTATTAAAAGTGTGATAAGTCCCTTCGATGTAACTGAGTCTAGCTAACATTCTTTTTTGTACCTTTTCTATATGTTGTATATTGTTTTGATAACTGGGATACCAAACAAAGGAACAGTAGTCTATATTGCTACAGATCAACGTGAAATAGAGGGGCTTTAAAGATGGTATGGACTTAAATTCTGTAGTGTTACGAGAGATGAATGCTATTAATCTATTACACTTATTTATTGTGATATCAATATGACGTGTGAATCTCATTTCGGAATCAATGTTTAGGCCTAAATCTTTAACATATTTTACTTGATTAAGACGAGTATCTGCAAAATAGTAATTAGTCTCGAATTTTTTATATTTCCTTGAAAATTTTATGTGGTGACATTTTTTTACATTGAGTTCCATCTTATTACATTCACACCATTTACAAAGATCGTTAAAATCGCTCTGTAATAGTAACTGGTCCTCCGTGCACTTAACGGTTCTAAAAAATTTCAGATCATCGGCATATAATACAAACTGACTGTTATTTAATACATGTTTTATGTCATCTATAAGCAAACAAAATAAAATTGGACCCAGGACTGAACCCTGAGGAACTCCAGAAGTAGCTTGAAATATGTGAGATACAAATCCGTTTAACAACCCTCATTACCCTATTTCCTAAATAGGATTCAAACCATCTCAAAAGACATCCGTCAATAAAAAAATAATTTTAAGTTTAGCCAGTAATATTTTATGGTCCACTTTGTCAAAGGCCTTGCTAAAGTCGGTGTAAACGGCATCAACCTCATTGCCATTACTTAGTTCGGTTAAAACCTTTTCGACAAAGAACATTAAGTTGGTTGTTGTGGAACGCTTCGCAAAGAAACCATGTTGATAGTCACTCAAAAGTTGTTTTACGTGCCACTTTAAATGGTTACTAACAAGGGATTCAAATATTTTTGACAAAGTGGAAAGTATGCTGATAGGTCGATAATTACAGATATCACTGATACTTCCGGATTTATGGATTGGTAAAACGATAGCCTCTTTCCACATGTTTGGAAAAATGCCTTCCGAGATAGATCGGTTGTAAATTAAATGTAGTGGTGTCGACAATATTTTAGCTCATTTTTTTATGAATATTGGAGGTAATCCATTACAACCGGCTCCTTTATTGGTATTAAGCCTAGCAAGTTTAACTTCAATATCCTTTTTAGGTATTTGTATATAATTCAGATTAAGAGAATTTGTCACACTGTCGTTAACTCTCGAGTAAGACTTATCTTGGACTTTGGAGGGTTTGTTATAAACAGATTCAAAGTGCTCAGCAAATAAGTTAGCAATACCACTACCGTCATTAGCACCTTTGTTCCCTAGTTCCATTTCCTTAGGGATCGAGTCATTATTATTACGCTTATTCTTTATGTAAGACCAAAAATGTTTCGGATTATTTAAAATATTTCTTTGCACATTATTTATGTAGTTGCTGTAACTCTTATTAATTAGCGTGTTTGCTCTTTTTTTAACAACTCATATTCGTATACGTCACGATTGTTTTGATATTTTTTCATTTTTTTGCGGCTAATTTCCTTTTCCTTTAAAAGTTGTATAAGTCTCTGTGAATACCATACGGGATATTTATTTTTAACAGATGGTTTTAGGGGTACATATTTCCCGATATTTTTTCGAATTATGGTATAGAATTTTTCTAAACATTCATTAATTGAGCGGCAGCTATTTAACTCACTATCCCATTTTAGTTCATATAGAGACCTATTTATATTTTCATAATCTGCTTTATAAAACTTATACACATTGACATTGATTCCCTTTCCCCCCGGACTTCCAAAGAGTAAAGACGTGTTTATAGTTTATTTTATTACTTATATTTTCTAATAAATGCTTTGACAAAATATTGATAAAATATTAGGAGTGCATAAAGCCCGATGCAGTTTACGAAGTGCTAAGGACATCTGCGGCAGTGATTAATTTTCAACAAACTAAATTATATGTGTGAGTAAAACCATCACATTTACAATCAACAAATAAATAGGACGCAGCATAAGACACCACACGTTAGTAAAACGATAAGAAGAGAGACGGTTATATTTTACTTGTACGGTTGCATTAGGGGTACGAGTTCGCAAATATACTGCGATCACACTTTCTAACTCATATTGTCCTGGTAATTAAACGTTGAGGCGTCTTTTACTTCAAAACCGGTTATACAATGCCGATCAACCGTACACCGCCGCCCGCTTCGCCCGTGCCTGTGAGCTCTGATGATACATCGCAATCGCAGACATCACGGACGCGCGCAATCGACGCGATAGAACGGACGACGAAACTTCACAGTGAATCGGCGCCTGATATTCCATCGCTTACGTTAAATGTTACTGAGCGTAAAAAAAGGAAACATGACGGAGTCAATCCTAACATTATGTCTTATATGAGTGAAATGTTTTCAGTTTATACAAATGAACAACCAAAGCATTTCAAAGATTTACAAATTATAGTTTCTAGTATAAAAGAACAGAACGATGAATTAAAAAAAGAGCGTCGATACTATGTCAAGCAAGTACGATGAGTTTCTATCACGGATATCCGTTCTAGAGGCAGAGAAAAGGCAGGATAGATATATTATATAACAACTACAGGATAAAATAGAAAATATGGAAAGGAAGTCCAGATTTTCGGGAATAGAAATAAGAAACACCTAAAAACAATGAAGAATCAAAAGAAAATCTATGTAGCACTGTTAAAAAATTAGGGGGAGTGTTTGAATGTAAATTTGCAGGATTCGGACATAAAAGACGTGTATAGAACTAATTCTAAGACGGGGACTAGACCGATAATAGTGGAATTTAATTCAGTCATTATTAAAGAAAAGATGTTACATGAAGTAAAAAAAAAATTAATAAAACAAAACCAAAAAATTAGAAATTAAATACTTCGCATCTAAATTACTCACAAAAAAAAACATCCCTATATATGTCACGGAGACGTTAACACAAAATACTCATAAAATTTTTCTATCAGGCAAGAATTTTCCAAAAAAGTCATAAATATTTATTTTGCTGGACATCTAGAGGCATTGTATACTTACGCAAGAATGAAAATTCTTCTCAAATTAGAATAAATAATGAAACAGATCTAGAAAATCTACGGCAGACCGAATGAGTAGTTTTAACTTATAGATTAGATATTTTCGCATCCTTTCTTTTGTTTTTAACTAGTATAATAAGAATAAAGTATATTCTAACACTATACATTATAATACACATAGTCACAATTTACACACAGTACATAAACAAAAATCAAACATTATACACCTTAATTACATCTTTTAAATCACACTTACATTTTATAATAAATCATATTCACTCATTTCATATATACTACTTACAGTTCCATTTTTTTCAATCAATTTATCGAATAAAAGATATTATTTGGTCAATAACGAGACTCTGTTAGAGAAATTTAAAGTAATAAATAAAAGGCGATAATAACGCTCTAAGCTTCACTATTAACTTAGATAAATTTACGGTATCAAAAGACCGATAGCCTGTGACGTTGAAGATTGTTATAAGTATTTGTCACCTGGTGAATCCAACTTCACAATTATTACGCAGAATATACGAAGTATTAACTGCAATATTACAGATTTCGAAGTATTACTGACTAGATTAAAAATAGATTTTGATGTCATTGTACTAAGTGAATGCTGGTTGCTTAATAAGGACAACTTACCTAAAATTACTGGTTATAATTTATGCTCCACTAATTTTAATAACAACCAAAATGACGGATTAGTAATATATGTAAAAGAAAAACATTTGTTCACGACCGAGGAGCCTCATTTTCAAGAAGGGAATTGTATCATAACAACATTGAATGATATTGTTATAATCTCAATATATAGGTCACCGTCTTATAAAAATGTAGAAAACTTTTTTGCCTTCTTGGATAGTGTACTACAGAAATATTCGAAACATAAAAACATAATTATAATAGGAGATATAAATATTAACATTAACAATAAAACAGATATTAATTCGGATAAGTATTTACAACTGACAGCATTCCATGGCTTATTACCCACTCATACTCTAGTAACACGTGACGCAAGTGGTTCGTGTATTGATCATGTTCTGCTAAAAACGAATAATCCTTCACTTACTATAGTTCCTCAAACTTCAATCACTGATCACAAACCTGTAATTTTATGTATGAAAAATAAACAAAGTCAACAGTTTTATACAACTACTATCAGGAAAATAGATCACGATAAACTTAATTCGGATATGCAAAACATTGACTTTTTACCTATATATAATATTAAAGATCCAAATAAGTCTCTTGAATACTTAGTTAATAAAATAGAAACAGTAATTGAAGTTAATACTAAATTAGTGAAGTTGCCAAGACAAAAAAAAGATCATTAAACCTTGGATTACGATTAGTCTTCTTAGATGTATTCGTCACCGTGATAAACTACGTAAGAGGGCTGGGCGATTTCCAGATAGTGAAAGTAATCATATTATATACCGACGATATCGTAATCACTGTAACGCATTGTTAAAAAAAGTAAAGAGAAATTATGAAAAGGAGCGAGTGAATATGGTTAAAAATAATAATAAGAAGCTATGGGAAGTACTTACTGATATTATAGGTAACATGAAAAAGAAAGGGTGTAACAGAGAACTGTTAAATATATCTAGTACGCCGCAAGTATCTGTTAACCTTATTAATAATTATTTTGTAAATGTAGCAAAAAGTTTGGCAGAGAGTTTTAAGGTAGGAAATAAAAACAGTGAAAGTTCTAATATTAACATTGGTGAAGAATCAAATTATTACTTAAATTCATTTGCTTTATTGGACACGGATGAAAGGGAAGTAGAACAATTAATTGACAATTTGAAAACAAACTGTTCAGTTGGTTGGGATGGAATTTCGAATAAATTTATTAAAAATTTTAAATATTTGTTAATACCTCCTTTAACTTGTATATTCAATCAATGTTTAAATTTCCCTAGATATCTTAAGAAGTCCGTAATTCGACCTATTTTTAAAGATGGTGAAAAAACCTGTTTAAGTAATTATAGACCTATCTCTATATTACCCGCTTTATCCAAAATTTTGGAGAAAATTATAAATGATAGACTTACAAAATATCTGGAGAAAAATAATTTATTGTCAAATACGCAGTTTAAAACGCAGTTTGAGAGCCGTGGTAGCTCAGTGGTTAACGCTCGCTGTAAATATAACAGAACGCGAGTAACCCGGGTTCGATCCCCGCCAGCACCAATGAAATTGTTAATTGCAATTTTAAGTGCTGATTTACCACGTGCTCGGCGGTGAAGGAAAACATCGTGAGGAAACCTGCATGTCTGAGGAATAAGAAAAAAAAATATTTCGAAGACATGTGAAGGTTCGTCAACACGCATTTGGGCAGCGCGGCGGACACTTCCTCGCCCTAAACCCTCTCAGAAATGAGGGGAGGCCTGAGCCCAGCAGTGGGACGTATATAGGCTGTAACTTTACTTTTTTACTTTACGCAGTTTGGTTTTAGACATGGCAAATCAACAGAGCATGCCGTTCATACTCTTACAAATTTTTTGTCATCGTATTTAGACAGTGGAAAAAAGTGTATTTCTGTTTTCTTAGATTTGGCGAAAGCATTCGATACCGTGTCAATAAAAATACTATTAAAAAGACTGGAAAATATCGGTATCAGAGGCACTCAACTCAAACTATTCAAAAGTTATCTTTCTGAGAGATATCAATGGGTTAGTGTAAATAATATTACCAGCAATGATTCACTAGTAACACACGGCGTACCACAAGGGAGTGTACTCGGCCCAACCTTATTTCTTATTTATATTGATAATTTTACAAAATTTAATCTCTCTCAAGGACATATAATTTCATATGCAGATGACACTGTTTTGGTATTTGCTGCGGAAACGTGGAAAGATGTATTCTCGTCTGCACAATTAGGTATAAATGCAGTTACCAATTGGCTTTACAGTAATAAACTTTCAATCAATATTACGAAAACATAATATATAGTTTATTCATTAAGAAAACCTATTCGCAACCTTGAAAATTTTAACTTAGTGATTCATTCATATGATTGTTTAAAAAGGGATAACAGCTGTTCCCGCCTTTCACTTGAGCCTGCGAATATATTAAATATCTAGGGGTTATAATAGATAGTAATTTAAATTTTAAACAACATATTAACACACTTAGCAAAAGAATTCATAAATTAATATATATTTTTAAAACTATTAGACACGTTTTGGTTACAGATATATTAAAACGAATTTACT